TAGATGAAAAATCAAACTCACTGACAAATAATACTCCAGAGTCATCTAGTAAGAAATGAGATTCTAACTCTTGCCTTTCCCTTAGGACACTCAGTAGATTCCCTTATACATTGTGACCATCTAGGACTTAAAATCCTACAGTTTTAGTATTGAGCTCTCATAGGTATTCATTCAAAAACCCCTGTAACTTTGAAGAAGCTGATGGTGCAGATGAAAACTCACTACAGGGTATTATAGGAGGTAATGGGATTAGCATTGGGGTCAAAATAACAACAGTCGGGTGTAAGGGTACACTTCTGTAATCCCAGTCACTTTGGAGGCTGAGGCAAGAGGATTGTGAGTTCAAACTCAGCCTCAGCAATTTAGTGAGACACTAAGAAACTTAGTGAGACCCTGTCTCTAAACGAAATATTAAAAAAGACTGGGGATGTGGCTGAATGGTTAAGTGCCCCTGGGTTTAATCTCCTGTACAAAAAAAATAAAATAAAATAAAAAGAGCTAGGATGTAGCATTTTACCCTCATTTTTAGAGGAGAATCTAGGCTGGGAGAGCCTTTCACTGTCTTATTCTTCCTGGCCCCACCTTTACATGGAAAGTAGATATAGGATAAAGTGGAGCAGGACATCACACTGCCTGGGGCCAGGAGGGTCCCATATTTCTCTGCAATGATCTAACAGATTACAGATTGCTCAAAATAATAATAGCAACAGTGTTTTTGATTATATGTGTATATGTATGTATGATAATGTATGCTTCTGTGTAGGTATAATGAATGATAGCAATGATATTGGAACATGAGAGAAGGACTAGGATTATTCTTTTTTTTAAAGAGAGAGAGAGAGAGAGAGAGAGAGAGAGAGAGAGAAAGAGAGAAGAGAAGAGAGAAATTTTTTAATATTTATTTTCTAGTTATCGGCAGACACAACATCTCTGTCTGTATGTGGTGCTGAGGATCGAACCTGGGCCGCACGCATGCCAGGCGAGCGCGCTACCGCTTGAGCCACATCCCCAGCCCTAGGATTATTCTTTTAACATAAGATTATTCTTTTAACATAAGATTATTCTTTTAACATAATTTCATTACCTGTAATGCAGTATGGAATATGAAAGTACACTTGTATTATTTATAAACATATACAGCAAACTATAGGGTAAACACTAAAAAATGCATCAATAAGTATAACTAAAAAGTGAGAAAGAATAGAAAGTGTAAGCATATAAAGCACTTTCTACCACAAAATGTAGAAAAAGAATAGGAAACAGGTATGAACAATGAACAAAGGCAACAAATAGAGAACAGGAACAAATAAAATAGATGTTCATGCAATCATATCAATATTTCTTTGAATATCAATGGTCTAAATAAACCAAGTAAAAGATTATCAGAGGGGATCAAAAATCCAAACCCCAAGTATATTCTGTCTATGAGAAACTCACATAAATTAAAAAATGCCTAATATTACCATGGTATGTCTTTCTCCATCTCTTTACTTTTAACACTAATCAAATGAGAGCTAGAATACACTCATGAATTTCAAGGTGGGCTGATTGCAGAACAAAGAAAGTTTACATGGATAAAGATGGGAATTACATAGTGATAAAGAGGCCAATTTCTCAAGAAGACATTATAATCCTCATTGTGTATGTGTCAAAATCATGGGGCCAGGATTGTAGCTCAGTGGTAGAGTACTTGCATAGCATGTGTGAGGAACTGGGTTAAATTTTCAGTACTGCATATAAATAAATGAATAAAATAAAGGTCCATCAACATCTAAAAAAATATTTTAAAAAACATGAGGCTACAATTGATAAAATTTCAGAAGAAACATATGAATCCACTGTCATAAATGAGATTTCAACACCTCATTACAAGAAAAGGAAAGTTGTGGAAAGCAGGTAGAAAATAATGAGGATATATGTGAACAACACCACCATCAATCAGTGAATGTAAGTCACAGCCACAGCCTACTTCAGCCTACCTGCCATGGGCTGATGGGGTTCAACCAGGATGTGTTTCTTCTTCCTGAGTGTGCAGTTTAGGAGTGTGGTACCAGACACAGGCTAGGGACAAACACTGCTTCTAACAAACTGCATGAATTTGAATATTTTTAGTTTGCTTTATAATGACTCTAATACCTCCTCTGCAAAATGGGGATTATGCAGTATGACCCTGGAATATAAACTGTTTTAAAACAAACACTACTTTCTGTTTTATTTTGGCACAGGCAAATGCATATAAATCCCATTATTTAAAAAAATCAAATGTAACATTATTTGGATATCTGGCTCATAAACTTGGGTCTGTACCTCAGTTTCCTTTTCTGTTAAGTAGAGGGAACATTTTGCCTTATGACATAGATTGCTACCTTGAGAATTACTTGAGGTGATATCTGAAAACCCTTAGAATAATGTTAAGTAAAAGGTTAATGAGCAATATCCTGAGTTGTTGTATAAATACCTACAAGATGAGATTTTTACAGCTTTGATTGTTTTAGAGTTTGCATCTGTCATTATTAAAGGGCAACAGACTTAGAACTGAATCTTATTCATCAATTGACACATTATATTAAATCACTAAATTTCACTATGACTACTATTGGATAACCAAAGAATGTCAGGCACTTGGAGCAACTGATCTCAGAAAACAGCACCACCATGTCTCCACGTGGCCGAACAAGCCCAGGGGCCTTTGATTCTGTCCTATCCTCACACCACCCCCATGCCCAGCCACTGCAGGTCCCTCCTGCCCTTCCTCCAGACATGCGCTGTCTGGGCATACCCCTCCCTCTGCACAATGCTGCAGCACAGCTCCCATCTTCCCTCATCCCTCCCATGGCCTTGGGCAATATTCTCCTAGTGGTTGTCGGCACAAGACAGTTGTCCCTTTCCAATACATTCACAGAGAGGCCAGTGTCACCTGAGTAAGAAAAGACCCAGATCATGTCATGCCCATACTCTAACCCTCCACACTCAGAATAAAATCCAAACTCCTTACACAGCCCAAACCCTGTGGCTCCATTTGCCCTCTCCACCTCACCTCCCACCAGTCTGGCAGAGATGTATCTCTCCAAATTGTTATATTCATTGGTTAAATATTATTAAAATCCTAAAACTGAATATAAATATGTGGGTATTTCTTCTCTTCATTGCTAATGTTTAATAGTAAGTCATGTGCAGATGTTAAGAATATTAATACCCAGCTGTCGGAGACCAGCTCCAACAGGGGTCTCAAGAGACGAACGGATGGTGAGGAGTCGGCGAAAGGGGGGTGGAGAAACAACACAGACACCAAAGTGAAGGTGCTGATCCCAATCTTTACTTGTGAAGTTGATCATATATACTTTTCATTTTGGCAGGCTCACAGTACTTTGTGGTTACAAAACAGGAATCATTATTCAAAGAAACAAAATATTACATAGCTACAATTAGAATAGAAGAATGTATCTTGGCTTATGCATAAGCAAGCATTTGTACTTTCAGTTTGCGTTTTGCTTTGAGCTGTTTCTGCTTAGTTAACTTTTAATAATAGTTAGAAATGTCCCAAACTATTGGCCTATACCTTGACTATTCTTTCTTGACTTACTGACTGGAACCGGTGCCATGGTTACAGCAAGTGGTTGACTTGTTATTAATTTTAATCAAACAAGAGTAAGAGCACAAACCATTGTGCACAGGAAGAAGAACAAGTTGCCCAGTATTAAGCACTAATCTGTCTTCTTAACATTAATTTTTCTTCTCTAGATTTTAATTTAATTTCTCAAAAACTTCCTTGACAGGAATACAGGGAGTTTTTCATTAGACATTAACAATTTACGCTCCACAGCTGAATCATTGCATTTAGAGCAAACAGATCTATTCTTTAGAAGCAGTTGCATTAATTGGGAAAGTCATGTTTTTTCCTTCATACTTAATGGTCACAACTATACTTATTAAAGGAATACAAAAACAAATCAGCCCATTCCCAGAAACATACTGCACTCCTCCAGAGGATGGACGCCTTGCACCATCCACCTCAGTAGGGCCTTGCCATTGCCTGAGTCAGGGGAGGGGCGCAGCACCCAGCATTCCCATTGTCATTGAAATTTACATTATGCTACTTAATTATATTGTTCTTTTTCTATGCAGACATATATGCAAATATAATATATATTCATATGTTACATTTCATATAACTACTATAATACTATATATATATGCACATATATATAGCTTGTATTCTGTCTTTCTGGGTTTTTTTTAACATTTATCTGAACTTTTATGCTAAGTACTAACACATAGAGGAAGCATTCTAATTATACAACAAGGTGTAAGATATAGTCTAATTTTCCTATTAATGAATCTTGTACCAGCTGATCAAGCATCATTTCTTTTCTTGTTTTTGGATATGTGGATTGGTTGAACCCAGGGACATTTAACCACTGAGCTACATCCCCAGCCCATTTTAGTTTTATTTCAGGCAGGGTTTTGCTAAGTTGCAGAGGCTCTCTTTGAACTTGAGATCCTGCAACCTCATCCTCCTGAGTTGCTGGGATTGCAATTATATGCCAACCAACCTGGCCAAGTCCCATTTCTTGAATGATGTGCCTGACTTGAAATTCCATATTTGTAGCATAGTAAGTAATATGTGTGCATCTTCTTATGAGCTTTCTATAGACTTCATTTAATCTCTATGTACACTACACAATCCAACAGTTATAAAATCAAATGTTTGTGGTAACACCTCTGTAACACCTGGTAGTATAATCTCCACACTTATCATTCACATTTTGGATGGGTGGTGGAATGAGGATGAGGGTGATGATGATGATCAGTAAATACAAGATGTCATATTAGGGCACATAATAAATAAATTGTTTGATTTAGATCACACAAACAGCAAGTAGTAGTTTCCAGGGTCGCACCCAGGTCCCCTCACCCCAAAGGCCAGGCTGCTAATCACTTTTTCTATACAGAGTGTCTTTCTCTATTAGTTCAAAAGTCAACAAAGTGAAAGGACTCACTTAAGGTCTTATGGTCAGTAGATGGCTGTGGCATCCAGGATGCATGCTGGATGACTCCCAGCATCAGTCTAGCTAATTCATTCTTACAAGAGAGCAGAAAGCACATGGAATCTAAGAATGAAATAAGAACAACATTAGCTTCTTCTACTACATTCCAGATGCTCTATGTTTTAAATCTTCTCTTTTATGGGATACAGATATGTTCCTTTGAAATCAGCAATTCCTCTTCTAAGAATCTATGCCAAGCATAAAAGTAAAATACAAACAGGCATAAGCATAAGGTCTTTGCTGGCAGCAGAAAACTAGAAATAAGACAGCTGCCAGCTGATGATCCAGCTGCCAGCAAACTTCCAGCTGCTGGCTGATGATTGGCTCACAGTGGCCCCAGCAACATCTAGCTGATTGGCTCCTCTGCGGTGATGTTCATTGGGCTGTTTCCCTGCCCTTCAGACTGCCAGCTGATGATTGGCTCACAGTGGCCCCAGCAACATCTAGCTGATTGGCTCCTCTGCGGTGATGTTCATTGGGCTGTTTCCCTGCCCTTCAGACTGCCAGCTGATGATTGGCTCACAGCGGCCCCAGCAACATCTAGCTGATTGGCTCCTCCACGGAGCTGCTCATTGGGGGACTTCTTTGGCTCTGCCCACACAACCCAGCCAATCAGCTTCAAGAGCAGGAGGATTGTGGGAGGTTGAGAGGCTGGTGTGGGGGTGAGAGGCGTGTGGAAGCCGGTGGTGGCAGTTGGGCTCTGAGGGTTTTTTCCCTGAGGAGCTGTTTTGTTTGGCGTTTGTAGTTCTAAAAATAAAGTTAGTTTCTTTTGACAAGTGGCTCCTGAATTGTGCCCAGCCAGACTGCGGCAGACATCCACCAAGAAGGGATTGATTGAATAACCTAAGGCACATCTATATGCTAGAGTACTATGCAGGTATAATAAGCCAGGAAGACTCCCTCCTTTCTCATCTACTGTACACTTGTCCTTAGGATATATTGCCAAATAAGAAACCAAGGCACAGGAATGGGCACCAGCTATGGGAAGGGAAGGGAAGGGCAGGGCAGGGCAGGGCAGGGCAGGAAACATGAAATACCTATAAAATGAAATAAGTTGTTGAAATTAAAAATATTCATGTGATTATTATTTTTCTACTAACTTTTTTTTTTGGGGGGGGGGTGAGGGAGAATACACAGGACTGAACTCAGGGGTATCAACCACTGAACCACATCCCCAGCCCTATTTTGTATATTTTTTTTAGAGACAGGATTCTCACTAAGTTGCTTAGTGCCTCGCTTTTGCTGGGGCTGGCTTTGAACTTGCGATCCTCCTATCTCTGCCTCCTGAGCCACTGGGATTACAGGCATGCACCAGCATGCCTGGCTCTACTAACATATCTATCATTGGAGTCAAATATGTCGGTATGAAACAAAAAGTCTAGACCTAATCCATGTCTAAGGTTTTTTTTTTTTTAATCATCATCAAAGCCCAAAAGCTTGATTACAACTGAAAAAAAAGTCTAACATGTCTATTGTTCCTTGACTTAATCAGTTATGGTTGCTATAAGTACACTATATAGTGTGTGGCTTAAACAAGAAACAGATGTTTCTCAGTTCTAAATGATGAAATATCTAACAGCAAGGTGCTAGAAGATTTGGTCTGGTGAGGGTTCCCTTCCTGGTTTATAGACAGGTCCTTTTAGCTGTATTTTTACATAGTGGAGACACAGAAAAAGAGATTTCTCTCCCTTATGAGTTTTATAATAGGGTACTGATGCCATTAAAAGAGTTCTACACTTATGACCTCATCTAACATCTAATGACCTCCCAAAAGTCCCCTTGGAAAAACCATCACATTGGGGACTAGAGCTTCAACATGTGAATTTGGAAGATACACACATTTAATTCTTAGCATTCTTATCTGGCAGAGATGTATCTCTCCAACTTGTTATATTCATTGGTTAAATATTATTAAAATCCTAAAACTGAATATAAATATGTGGGTATTTCTTCTTTGGAGCATATTAAATGGATATTTTGGTGATCTACAAAAGAATGACTCCAGATTTCCCAAACACAAGTTTGCTCATAGCAGATAGTAGATATTAAATATTTAAGAGGTTCACAGTTTTAAGGAAATTATGCATCTGTTGTTTCATATTTCTAAAAACATAAGTCAAAATTTAAATTAACAAAATGTGCTGAATGAAACAAGCAAGACTTCCCCCTATCCATCCCAAGAGACAACCTGTGTGATCCCATATATAAAACTATAGGAAATGAAACTGATCTATTGACAGAAGATTAGTGGTTGCCTTGTAGACAGGCATGGTGAGGGGAGGGTGGTTGGGGGACACAGAACTGAAAATATGATGTCCTGGGAATATAAACCTAATAATATTTAAGAATGTCTGGTTAATATAAAGGAACTTGCATATTATCACTAAAATAAAACAAATACATAGGTAATTAATATTCAACATTTTAAAATCTTATAAGTGACTTATTTATATAAAACATGGATTATACCTGGCTGTTAAAAAATTTTATACTAGAATGGATAAAATTGTAGTTGCAAGGGAAGAATCCATGTTATAATTTCAAATTGCTAAGGAAGACTTTCTAAGCAACTGCAATTTTCAACACCCATCTAAGAGAAATATGGGGACCACTGCTTTTTATACCCTCTACAGAGAAAATATATAAATATTGGGCTGGGGATGTGGCTCAGGCGGTAGCGCACTCACCTGGCATGCATGCGGCCTGGGTTCGATCCTCAGCACCACATACAAACAAAGATGTTGTATCTGCCGAAAAACTAAAAAATAAATATTAAAAAATTCTCTCTCTCTCTCTCTAAAAAAAAAAAAATACAAAATGGAGCTGGGAATGTGGCTCAGTGGTCAAGTGCCCCTGAGTTCAATTGCCGGTACCAAAAAAAAAAAATTTCAAAAAAAAATATATATTTATATATATATATATGCTGCAAGATTGTGAAAATCTTCTTCTTTCCTTAAGAAAAAATTATTGCTTTTAGACTAAGAGGAACTTTCTAGAGGGGCCTCAAGGGCTATTACAAAGCATAGAGCTGGAAAGAAAATTCACTTGTTAAGCTGTTTAAAGGATGAGATCAAAGGGTTTTCTGTACTTTCCAGCTATTTTGTGAACCTCATGTGTGCTATTCCACCATATACCCTTGTTCATATCTATGAACTCACTTGAGCTAGACATTATATCTTACCAGGGATGGAAGTATCAGGGGTCTCCTGAGCACTGTGGACCTTTGGATCTGGAGTAGAAACTTCAGCAGCTATCATGACCCACATTCAGAGAAACTTCTTCAGGCACTTGATATGAGTTCAGTCACCAGAGGAAGAGCTGTCCAGGGGAAACCAGAATCCAGAAATTACTATGCTTTATTGGGATAACTACATCCATGGAAAAATACTAGGCACTGAAGTGAGCATTTGTAATCCCACAATAAACACAGAGCAATGGGGGTTTACACCTATGTCATCCTTGAAGGTTCCAGCAATCCTGTGGGTTGGCATTCTTGACCCCATTCTACAGAAGAAAAGCTGGGCTCACAGAGAGCCATTCCCTTTGTTTTTTCTTTTTTGTTGGGGGGTGGGGGTGTATCGAGGATTTAACTCCAGTGCACTCGACCACTTAGCCACATCCCCAGCCTTATTTTGTATTTTATTTAGAGGCAGGGTCTAAATAAGCTGCTTAGCACCTCGCTGTTGCTGAAACTGGCTTTGAACTCATGATCCTCCTGCCTCAGCTTCCTGAGCCATTGGGATTACAGGCGTGCACCACCGCGCCCGGCTTAGGGCCATTTCCTTTCTTACCCTCCCTCATCCTGCATTTACTTGGAAAGTAGGTCCAGGGCACCTGGGAGCAGATCATCATGCTGCCTGGGGCCAGAAGGGTCCCACATCTCTCTCCCTCTGGAGTCAGCAGGGCTCCGCGTCCAGAAGAAGGAACGAGGCGACTTGGGTCTGGGTCCCTTCATCTTCCACACCCCAGGGAAAATCAGCCACCACCGGGGGGCACCCACACCCTCCGCTGAGTCAAAACACCAGGACGAGGGGCTCTGCTCCTCTCACAAGAGCAAGTCGGTCTCCTTTCTAATGTCGTCACAGTCGCCCTGATGACGTCAGGTTTCTATGGCAACCGCGATGCACAGATTAGTCCTGAGCACTAGAAATGCTTTTGGTTAGGCCTCCTCTTTGTCCCTTGTCTTTCTTTGAAATTAAAACACCTTCACTCTTAAGTCCACCACCTTAGAACATGTACTAATTAGGGGAACTAGGCTCAGACTCCCGCAATGGGAAGAACTCTACCCACACCCTCAGATGAGTCCAAATTCCTGAAGTAGATCCAGGACAACCAGGCTCAGGATATCACACTCACTGGTCTCACATCTCCCTCCATTACTTGAAGAACCAAGTCTCAAAGCTGGAATGAATCACTGGCCTAGTTACCAATGGCACTGGTACAACTAGGTAGTGATCATAACAACTAGAGGACACAATGGGCTTCTCACCAGGAACTTTCCTTCTCTTCTACTCATCTGTCATCCTCTAACAGCAAATCTAAACAGGAATGTGAAGTGGTCTAAATTCATACAGGCATTTATGATCCCACAATTATCACACAGGACATCATGGAGCCTGGGATCAGGAGGGTCACACATCCCTTTCCTTCTCCAGTTAGCAGGGCAGGGCACCAAGTCCCAGGGCAGGAATGAGACAACTTGGGTCTGGTGTACCTACATCTCTCCACACCCTAGGGAGGCTCAGCCTCAACCTTCCATTGAGTCCAAATATCTGGATGTTGGGCCCTGTTTTTGAATCAGAGAAAGTAAGTCTCCTCTAGAGTGTTGTCAGGGTCACTAAGGTTGCCATAATGATGTCAGGTTTCTATGGCAACAGTGGTGGACAGGCTGTTCCTGTACTAAGGAAATGCTTGCACTATTTCTTCTTAAGTCTGTTTCTCCCTTAAAGCAAAACGCCTACACCATTGCGGAGACTAGAGAATGCTCCCTAATTGAAGAAAATATGTGGGGATGGAGGCAATTGGGACTGCTCTGCCAACGTTGTTGGAACAAAGCAGGTGTCCGTTACCAACATCTCAGCTACTAGGAAGGAAGAGGGAAGAGGATCCCCAATTCAAAGGCATCCTCAATACCTCAATGAAGTCTCAGAATGGAAAATAATGATAATAATATTGTGTACAAGCGGATACTCATTCAACAACCCCTCTTGAAGAAGTTGCTGGTATAGATGAAATCCCAGTGTAGGGTCCTGTGGGTGGTAATGGGACTAGTATGAGGGTCAAGGGTTTATAATTCCTGCTTCCTCTTTATCTTCACTCTTTGTTCTTTTGGGGATCAATGTGAAACTGTTCCCCAACATCAAATTAAAATATCAAATAAGGGGACAGAAAACAATGAGGAATTTTTGAAATTAAATGTTTTAATACTCTTCCTCTCTCAGCAAAGCCCTCCTGCAACACTGAGATAGCCCCAAAGTATGATTCACAGTGTAAATGTGAAGATGGGCCAAGTTATACTTTGGATGTGGGGTGTCCCCCAAAAGCTCATGTATGAGACAATACAAGAAGGTTTGGAGGAGAAATGATTGGGTTATAGCATTAACCTAATCAGTGAATTAATTAATTAATTGATTAAATCAGGGATCAGCTCAGTGGAACTGGAGGCAGGTGGGGTGTGTCTGGAGGAAGTGGTTCAATGGGGGTGTGGCTATTTGGTATGTATTTTTATCTGATGAGGGTCTCTCTCTCTCTCTCTCTCTCTCTCTCTCTCTCTCTCTCTCTCTCTGCTTCCTGTGAGCTATTTCCCTTTGCTACACTCTTCTGCCATGACGTTCTGCATCACCTCCAGGAATAGCACCTGCTGTCTGTGGACTGAGATCTCTGAAACTGTGAGCCCCTAAATAAAATTTTCCTCTTCTACAACTGTCCTGATTAGATCTTTTTTTTTTGAGAGAGAGAGAGAGAGAGAGAGAGAGAGAGAGTTTTGTTTTTGTTTTTTTTTTTTTTAGTTTTCGGCAGACACAGCATCTTTATTTGTATGTGGTGCTGAGGATCGAACCCAGCGCCGCACGCATGAGCCACATCCCCAGCCCCTGATTAGATCTTTTAGTCACAGCAGTGAAAGGTTGACTAAAACATGCTGCTTCTTTCTGATACATTTCCAGGTGGTCTCCAGGGCGGGTGTGTCCTTTCATTTAGGTAACTGTTATCACTTCTCTGGGAAAAGAGAAAGTTCAGCCAGATAAACTCTGGTTGAAATCTCACTCCACACCAGGTGCTCTGAAGAGGATTTCTCTTTGTCCCTTATAGTTCTGTAAGGAGGGCATGGTGAGTCCCCTTTAATAGATGAACAACTTCAGACTGACAAAGGTTAAGGAAGGATTTCAGCATCACACATCAGGTAGGAGGCAGGAATATTCCATAGTTTCCATAGTTTGCTGTCATTGAAACGTTACATGCATTCTCAAAGGGGACAATATTGCTCATAAGATACTTCAAACTGGTGTTCAGGGGTAGGCATATGGTACATATTACAATAGTTTGTGACACTACAAAGAAACACAACACATACTTAATTCTCCTTGTATGATCTCAACATTTTATATTCTGGGCAGAAGATGTGTGAGGGGGAAAATGTCTAAAAAGCCTCTTTATGGGGAAATAATAAAATAAGGATTAAAAAATGTTATATTCCCAGTGACTTCGTGTTGATGATGGGCCCCCGAGGCTTAATGATGACAGACAGACAATGGCTGAATAACAAGTGTTTCCTCTATGACAGATAATCTGGAGGATAAGATTTAAAATATCTAAACTAATGTAACCAAATGACACCCTAAATATTATCTCCTCCAAACTGAATCTTTAAGTAATTTGTTATTAAATCTACAGTTAGATCAGGTTATAGGAAGTTGGGAAAGCTTAAGTAAATCAGGGAATATGCATTGTTACTGTCTGCTCAGTAGTGAAGCCTGGAATCTCACAAAAGCTTTGTGTCCTGATGCTGCCAGGAATCTAAGTGCTCTGAACTCCCTGGAAACTCACATTCAAGACTGCACCACAAACTCAGGACAATGGCATATCCTTAAAGTGAAGTGACATAACCTCTACAATAATGTGCATAAATCCAAAGTGATATAAAAAATGTCTGAATCAGTAAAGAAATGGATAAGAGGAGACAAATTATCTTCATCCAATAATTCCAAATTACATATACAGTTACCTGCCCTCCATGAGGTAAAGATTAATTCTGATCCTAATCCCCGAGGGCAGAACTTAGTGTCTCCCTTACAAACATGACAGTAAGCAGATGGAATATAGTCACTGTCCACTGGAGAAACTTGACAAACATTACCTTAACCAAGTGATGAAGTTTAGTGTCACCAGTGATGTCACATGGATATCCTATACTCCCAGAAAGAATGCGATGAGAAGATGCTTCAAATCTTCAAAATGCTTCAAAACCCATGATTACAGTCTAATTGGAGAAAATAACAGGCTCAGCAGGTGATCCTCAAGCCTTCCAAGGTCATGAAAATGGCTTGGCATTTCTTCTCACCATTAAACAGGGAGTTATCATATGTGTCATCAATTACACTCCCAGGTACACAAGTAAGATAAATGAAAACCCATGTCTACATATAAACTGGAACAGGAATATATGTAGCATCATCATCTTGAACAACAGCCCAAAAGTAGAAATAACCTGATGTACTAGGGATCAACCATGATAACAGGTGAAAAATCCAGATGCAAAATACCAAATATTGTGTGATTCCATTCATATGAAATGTATGGAACAGGCAAATCCAGAGACACAAACATGCATTTCCTGGGGCTGTGGTGAGGACCAGTTTTTAACTAAGCACAATGCTATATTATAGGGTGATGGAAATAGCTAATACTTGGTTGCTCAACTTTATAAATATATTGAAAACCATCAAGCTGTATCCTTAAAATGGGTAAATGGGTAATTGAATTTCAAATTATATTGCAAGAATGTTGTGAAAAATACTATATTGATCTGAGCTTCCATTGTATCACAATAACACTCAAACTTGGCTCTTAGCAAGTTGTTTAATGCACATGTACTTTATAATACTGTGCTGTATTCTACCCTGACGACTCTATGTCCTGTGTAACTCCAAACAATGACTGTCCCCCCTCCTTCCCACCACCCATGCTCCCTTGGGTTGCTCATTTGCATAAAAGCTAATTTACACCTCATCACCTCCACCTGCAGCACAGGTTTGATAGTGGGTCCTCTACAGGGTCCAAGTCCTGTCCTCTGTGACAGACTATCAGTACTGTTACTCTCTTTACTCCTCCGTGGCCTTGGGCAGTTCAAGCAGCACTACCTTTATGAATGTTAGGATGGTATCACTTATTAGAGGGCTCCAAAGTGGCACACACGTTGTACCAACACTTTCTCTCTCACAAGTCATCTTCAGGATGGAATGAAGGATGTCAATAAGGCTTAGGTTATAAGGATGCCATGCTGAGAATTCTCTTCCTTCACTTTTGGACCTGAATGTAGGAAGGGAGGCCAAACAGGATGCAAATCTATGAAGAAGGAAAAAGAATACAGAAATGTGGTTGTCACCATATGCGTGCATGCACAAACACACAGTGTCACTTGCTGATGCATACACACACTTTTTCACACACACACACACACACACACACACACACCTTACACATACTCCTATAAAACCCAAACTGTTATCATATGAGAATCTTCCAAGACAGTTTGCTAGGCTCACATAGAACCCATTTATCTCACCTTTCAAACGATGGTGTGAACTGTGCCTTAAACTGTGCCCTTAAGCAGATTATATTCTGAAAATGCAATGCACACAGGGTTGACAGTAGGAACTATAAAAACACTCTAAATAATTCAGCATTGTGAATATTATTTTACATGCATAGGAATGAATTCCATAAGGTAGCAAAAACAAGTCATAATGACAACAATGACACAAGATCCTTTCACTATTACATTAGCAATGATTTTCATTGTCTCTCATGTGTGGAGACATAGGTACTTTTATGCTTCACTGTTAGATATATAAATGAATAAGAACAGTTACAAGTCATTATGTCAACAGAAATGCTTACAAACATTTGCATAGGTATACATGTATTATGTGGTGTATGTAAGTACATATATTGTGATAACAGGGTGTTTGGTACATTATCATTTGTCATTGGAAAACTGTAAAAGAAACTAAATTTTCATTACTTTGATCCTAACAATTCTGGGGTATCCACACAATGAAAAACCCAGTCAGTGGGGGGAAAGCCTAAAATTTTGTTGAAAATTAAAAATGCAATCTGAAATATATCTTCCTGGAATGATGCCTATATTAATTAAGGGGAAATTTGCTTTCCAAAAATCATAATTAGTGTGAATCCTTTTTTGTTTGTATGTCTCCAGCTAATTATCCAGAAGTTTCAAAGTATAAAAACAACATTTTTTTTTTTTGGTCCTCTCACATAGAGCTTTCTCTTCCCAATAATGATAGACTTCATTTTCTGTGTGGAGGTCCTCAGTATACCTACCTACACATTGGCAATGTCCCCTTTTATACACAGGCTTCCAGAAAGTTCTATAGGATGTGCTTGGTCAGATTCCCTCCCTCCCACTTTCCTGCTCGGCCATTTTCACGTTGCAGTTCAAGATTCTGTCACAAGGTGGAACCAACACACCTGCATTATCAAAAGTCTGTGTTTACAAAGAGGTGGCTGCACCAATCCCCCCCTCCCTCTGGCAAATAAATGCGGAATGTTTTCTCTAAGGAGGCTGACTCATAGTGGTGTAGGGAGGGGGAACATGGGAGGAATAGATGAACTCTAGATAGGGCAGAGGGGTGGAAGGGGAAGGGAGGGGACAAGGGATTACCAAGTATGGTAGAATGTGATAGACAGGAATTGGTGTCAACATACTTTATATACAATCAGAGATATGAAAATCATGCTGTATATGTGTAATAAGATTGTAATGCATTCTGCTGTCATTTATTTTTTTTAAATAAAAAATTAAATTGGGAAACTAAAAAAAAAAAGAACTTTGGTTACCAAAAAAAGAAAAAGTGGCTGCAACAAGGAGCAGCAGAAGAAGAAAACTCAATTAAAACCCAGTTTGTGAACCTATAAACACAGTGATTCTAATTCTTAAAAAAAAAAAAAAAAAGCGAAGCCATGAAAGAATACTGTAAAAAGTATACTACGAAATGTCAGATAGCTCTAATGTGCCTTGGAGTCACCAGTGGGCAAGAGGCAAAGAAGGGCAGGAAGGAGGTGACTGAGACAATGGGGCTACTAAAGCAGGGTCTGGGCTGTGTCCAGTGTTCTGGAAAAGGGATGATTAAGAGGTGGAGGGAGAAGGTCTGGGAGGAGTGTACAGGAGTGGAGTAATGGAGGGCAAAGACTATATTCTCTGGGAGGGACCCCTCTGCAGTACACACACCTCTACTTACACTGAGATGGAAGAGAGAAATCAGTGAATGCCATGTAGATTTGGGGTCAAGAGCAAATGGAGCTGCTTTGAAATACAAATGAAGCTCCTAAACAGAACAAGTTTCAAATTCAATCATTTCAAGTCATTTAAATGTATGCCTTCATTATGAATTACATATGGACATAGCTCCAATGCCACCTCTTGGCCAGAATGAAGTAGCTGGGAGGGAAGAATGCAGGCTGTGAACTTGAGTTGACTGGATCATAACTGTAGAGCTGTTTTGGAATATATTTTTACCTCTGTATTTTCCTGGAATACAATAAAGCACATCTTCTGGGATATCTCATTTTCAGATTGAACTTCAGTTCTGGTGTGAACTGAAGATAAAGCTGTAACTGTGAGCTCTACTCAAGGTGGTAGCTAAAGGAGCTAACACACACACACAGAGAGCCAGTCCCATTTCTCTATTTACTTCATTCCCCTTATGAAATTAAATACAATGAATATTTTTCCAAAGAATGGAATATATGTACCCCTAACTTTTGTCAATTTTGTACATGTGTTTTGGTTTACATTTTTATCCAATTCCCTTTATTTCTGAATAAAAAATTTCAAACAATACACAGAAGCATTTGTTAATTTCAATCAAACTGCATTTCTCACTGACCTCACATCTATCTCCTGATCCAAAGGGGTCTGTTGTTAATAAAATGTTACATGCTCTGTGGATGTGTCCCCATAGGTTAGGTATACACAATCATATAAACAAAACATACACACAGCATTTTCCAAAAGCGAAGTCACAGTAATCATCTTCATTTGCACTTTGCCTTTTCCAGTTAGTGGCTTCAGAGTTTTTTTAAGAAATAATGTTTGAGTTAATAATTCTGATTTTGGCATATTTTAACATGTTTATTGTTAAAATATGGTTTATATGAATTTTCTATTGAAATTACATGCTAAGTGCTCACTTCAGCAACATATATACTAAAATTGGAACAACACAGAGAAGATTAGCATGGCCACTGCACAAGAATGACATGCAAATTCATGAAGTGTTCCATATTTTTACTATAGTGACATAGTCACTTTAATATTCATAGCAGCACAATTCACAATAGTCAAACTATGGAACCAACTTAGATGCCCTTCAATAGATGAATGGATAAAGAAACTATGGTGGATATATATATATATATATATATATATATACATACATACACATACACACACAATGGAATATTATATATATATAATGGAATATTTATATATATATATATATATACACAATGGAATATTAATCCACAATAAAATAATAAAATTATGGCATTTGCAGGTAAATGGATGAATTTGGAGAATAACATGCTAAGTGAAGTAAGCCAATCCAAAAAAAAGAAAAGCTGAATGTTTTATCTGATAAGTGAATGCTAATCCATAATTGGGGGGGCATGGGATGAGTGGAGGAATTTTGGATTGGCCAAAGGGGAGGGAAGATAGAGGAGGGGGAGGGGGGTAGGAAAGATGGTGGAATGATATGACCATCAATTACCCTAGGGGTGTGTATGATTGCACTAATGGTGTGACCCTACTTTGTGTACAACCAGAGAAGTGAAAAACTGTGCTCCATTTGTATACAATGAATTGAAGAGCATTCTGCTGTCATGCATAACTGATTAGAACAAATAAATAAATTTTAAAAAGAAGTACAACATATGAGATCTGAACATCAAGGATCCACGTTACATTTGTAAAGAGTGTTCTACAGTTGTACAAAGATTTTGCTGTACAGGGAAAGGCTTCAAGTGATTTAATCTAGCCTCAATCACTTGTGCCCACATTTTCATAATTTGTTTTGCAAACCACTAGGACGAGGCTTTTGCTATATGCCCAAGCTTCATTCTCCTGGCCAGAAAGTGACTACTCACGGTTATTCAGATGTGTCCAGTGTTCTGAACAGGGGAACTCTGCAGGTGTTTACAACATAGGTAATAAGTGTGGCAAAGTGTGCTGGATCCACTTGCTTTTTGTCACAAAAGATTGAGCAAATATCCATCTTGCTAGCTTCCCAGTTTGGCCAGTGGGAACTGGAACAAATTAGGTAGGATCTCAAAGAAATATTCACTTGCCCACTACTCCCCCCTTTTTTGGCTTACATTGCTTTGCCTACAATGAAGTTCATTTGTGAAAGTGTTTCTGCATCTTTGGACACTCAGACTTTAACTCTTCCTATGTGTTCTTTTTACCACCTGTTATGATTTGGATCTGAAATGACCCCAAAAGCTATGTGCCAGACTCTTGGACACCAGCCTGTGGTACTATTGGAGGTGGGTATAACCTTCAGGAAGTAGAGCCTAGTGGAAGGAAGTTATACACTGAAGGTGTGACAGTGAAGGGCATATTGGGATTCTGGTCCCTTCCTCTCTCTCATTTTTTGTTCCCTATTTCCTGGTCACCATAATGTTAGCAGCTTGTTCCACCACATGCTCCCCACCACAATGTTCAGCCTCAGCACAAGCCAAAGAGTAGGGACCAAGTGACCATGGACTGAAACCATGAGCCAAAATAATTTTTTCTGCTTTATAAGTTGATTTTCTCAGTCATTTTGTCATAGTGACAGAAAACTAACACCCCATCTAAATTCAGAAGTAGAAACTAAAAGACAATTAATTATCCTATAGTTCATAAATTGATCAGTCAATGAAATAAAAAGCTGAATTTTACAAATGCTAAGTTCTGACACCCTGGCATCAATGGAATGCTCAAAACTACCCCAGCCCCATCCACAGAAGGATTGGGCTGAGCTACTGAGGAAGGTTGAATTTCTAGCAATGTGTGTATATTCATTTATAGCCTGCCTCTTGTTAAAATTAGATTTAATATAGTTAATCAAAACCTATTGACAAAAGGGAATAAAAAACAAGAAGTGCATTCTAAGGCAATAGTCTTCAAAAGAATTTCCCCAAGGGTAACAGATAAAGACTAGACAAGAGTCAACACAGTTCACCGTAGACTAACAAAATAAGATAATCCAATTGATTTGAATTAAAGTGTAACAGTTTCTGCTAAAATGAGCACTGCTTATTTTTCCTGAGTTTCTTCTGCCCACATCCAAGATCCATTCCCATTTTCTAAGGGATCTAGGTGAAATAGAACAGAGGTATGAGGGGGTCACACAAAGCCAGGGGCACGATCTACAGAATGCTTAGGCTTATGGAACACTTAATAGAACCAAATAATATATTTTAGCATTCTTAGCTTTTCAGATAGGCCAACAGGCAGGAAAAACTAAACAATCTTTGAATTACACTCAGAAAGAAATTATAAAACTCCTTCCACAAAATAATAACTTTATATATGAGGTCCCCAAAGAATCTTGATTTGAAGGACAACTGGTGTTTCAGGAATTTTTCGGCTGGGGGGATGTACTGGGGATTGAACTTGAGCACTAGATCACTGACCACATCCCCAGATCTATTTTGTATTTTATTTAGAGATAGGGTCTCACTGAGTTGCTTAGCACCTTGCTAAGTTGCTAAGGCTGTCTTTGACCTCGCAATCCTCCTACCTCAGCCTCCCAAGCTTCTAGGATTACAGGCATGCACCACCATGCCTGGCTGAGGAATTTTTTAATAGCAAAAGAAATGCCAACTTAGGGCTGGGACTGTGGCTCAGTGGTAGAGTGCTTGCCTAGGATGTGTGAGGCCTTGGGTTTGATTCTCAGCACCACATAAAAATAAATAAAATAAAGGTATTGTGTCCAGCTACAACTGAAAACTAAATATTAAAAAAAGAAATGCCAACTTATTTTTTACATAGTTAAGTTCAAACAATTTATTGAGTATGCAATGGAGCCTGGGAAGCCGTGTTCATAGTGTCTTGGAGATGGGATGACTGAGAGGAAGTGAGAGAAGGTCAGGTAAACTGTATAGGGATGTAGTCACAGAGGGTTTCCCACCCTCCTGTCTGAGGGACCCTGCTATGTATGGACTCCTCAAACTACACAGAGGAAGGAAGAGATAATAAGTGCAGATTTGGGAATGGAACTATTTTAACATACATGTGGGCATCAGTGTTATAATAATAAACAACCATCTCAAGACATGTATCACTCCTTGCAAAATGTATGGTGTCACCATTATGTACTAGAGAATTAAGGATCATCCCTCAGCATACTATTCCACCATGTGGAGAAATAGTAATGCTGTTTTCTAAGATAAGTTGCTCCAAGATAAATTGAATCTGTCAAGATTAATTAGGGCCAGGTGCTATGGCACATGCCTGTAATCCCAGCTACTCAAGGAGGCTGAGCAAGAGGATTGCCAAGTTTGAGGCCACCCTGGGCAACATAACAAGAGGAAACTGTCATGAAACAAAATAAAAATTTTAAAAGGGCTGGGAATGTAGCACAGCGGTACAGAACTTCATATGAAAGGCCCTAGATTTAATCCCCAGGAACACATTGTTGAGAGCCATAGCCGAAGGGGCCCCAGCAAACTTCCAGCTGCCAGCAAACTTCCAGCTGCCAGCTGATGATTGGCTCACAGCTGGCCCCAGCAAACTTCTAGCTGCCCACTGATTGGCTCCTCTGTGGTGATGCTCATTGGGTTGTTTCCCGCCCTTTCAGACCACGGAACTGCTTATTGGGGGACTTTTTTTGGCTCCACCCATGCAACCCAGCCAATCAGCCTCAAGAGCAGGAGGAGTGGGGGAGGTTGAGAGGCTTGTGGGAAGCCGGTGGTGGCAGTTGGGCTCTGAAGGTTTTCCTGAAGAGCTGTGTGGTTTGGCATGTGTTCTAAAAATAAAGTTTGTTTCTTTTGACAAGTGGCTCCTGAATTGTGCTCAGCCAGACTGCGGCATACACACACACACACACACACACACACACACACCATCAGCAGGATAGAAGCCCATTTTAAGACTACCTTTTAAAAACATGCAAACTAGGAAATTATCTAATCTGTATGAACTTCAACTTATAAGTATTTATAAAAACAGCTCACAATTACTAAATCATTACTATGCATCTACCACTATTCTCTGGGATCTCGTTTATAGTGCCAATTCTCAAGCACTGTTCCATCAGAAACAAGACAACTATGTCTATTTTTGCCACTTCTACCAAATGTAGTATTGGAAGTTCATATGCAAACTGTAGAAAACTAAAGAAAAGATAAAATTGTGAAATAATCCAACCAGGTATGGCAGATGACACCAATAAATCCAATGACTCCAGAGGCCGAGGCAGGAGGATGGCAAGTCTGAGCCCAGCCTCAGCAATTTAGGAAGACCCTTTCACAAGATATAGCTGGGGATGTAGTTCAGTGGTAGTAAAGCACCTCTGTGTTCAATGCTCAGTAGTGTGTGCACGTGCACACACACACACACTTATAAAGAGGCAATATATATATATATATATATATATATATTCCCTTGATAATAGTGGATGAAAGAGAAGAATTACATGTGACTTCTCTTCAAAATTTGATGCAAAAAAGAAGGGAATAGAGTGAAACACTTAAAGTGTTTAGAGATAAAAGCCACCAATAAAGAATCCTGTACCCTGTGAAATTATCCTTCAAGAGTGAAACAGCATGAAGACTGTCTCAGAAAACAAAAATATAGGGAATCTACTGCCAGGAGCCTTTCCTTGTAAGAAATAGTAAATTAATTTCTTTAGAAAAAAAAATTCTTTATATCAGAAACTTGGATTTATTGGGCTGGGGTTGTGACTCAGTGGTAAAGCACTCACCTACCATGCATTAGGCACTGGGTTCAATTCTCAGCACCACATAAAAATAAAATAAAGATCTTGTGTCCACCTATAACTAAAAAATAAATATTAAAAAAGAAACTTGGATTTACATAAAGAAAGCATATTAGAGAAGAGTATAAGGGAAAATAAAATGTTTAATTTTTTTATTCTTAATTGATCTAAGAGAAGTTTATTCAAAATAATAGCAACAATTATTTCTTTATGTATACACATATACACACAATCATACACACACTCACACATTCTTATGTATAAGTTAAATAAATGACACAAGGGACAGGAACTAGGAATTGGAATTATTTTGTTTTATAAGGTAAATTGCACTAAATTTAAAGTGGTATTGTGTTATTTGACAGTGGATTTGCATTAGTTATAAATGTATAATGCAAATTATCTTGGGCAAGCAATAAAAAATATTTCGAAATGCCTGAAATGCTGAGAGAAAATGGAATCATAGAAATGGTCAATTAATTCCAAATAGGTGCAAAATGAGTAAAAGACAAAAATAAAAACAAAGAAGAGTAACAAATAGAAAAGTAGCATGCATAGCCTATATTCATCCAACTATATTCATAATCACTTTAAACATCAACCATTAAACACAAACTAAGTAAAAGAAATTGTGAGAGTAGATCAAATGTCTAGATTCATTTGCATGCAGTCTACGTGAAATCCACTTTAGATATAAAAGCATATATAAAGGGAATGGGAAAATATGTATCATGTTAACAATAATTTAAAAAAGCATTAGAAGGGCTGGGGATGTGGCTCAAGTGGTAGCACACTTGCCTGGCATGCACGCAGTGCTGGGTTCATTCCTCAGCACCACATACAAAAATAAAGATGTTGTATCCGCCGAAAACTAAAAAATTATTATTAAAAAATTCTCTCTCTCTCTCTCTCTCAAAAAAAAAGCATTAGAAGACTTGTTAATTTAAGACAGGGCAGATTTCAGAGCAGGTACTTTATAAGAAATAAAGAGAAACATTATGTCATGATAAAGGGGTGGGTTCTCCAAAAAGGCACAAATATCCTTACTGCTTACATGACCAATAAGAAGAGTGTCAAAATATGTGAGGGAAGGACATACAGATCCATGTGTAAGGAAAACAGATGGAACAACTGTTGTATTTGGGGATATCACAAATGGACATATCTAACAGGTAGACAATCATTTAGGACACAGTGGAATTCAACAGCATCAGTAATTGACTAGATTCGATTCATCTCTATCTGTAGAATATACAGCCTCCTGTTGTAGCTCCCCCCCTGATGGTTGTTTTTCCTCTAAGCTTTCTTCCTTTAAATTTTGTTCCTCTATCTGACTTGCTCGAGAGATCTTCTCTTTTGCTTGACCTAACATGTTTTCTACCATAGTCTGGACCTCTAACAATTTACTTAACAGTCTTTCGGTTTGTTTTTTTACTAATTTCTAATCTAGTATAAAGGTAACACAACCCAATAAGATAACATAAAACAAAACCGAAACAGAATGAAACAAAAACGGAACAAAAAATCGTTGTATCAATTTTCTCTTTCTCAGGGCCGAACAACTTCAAACCTTGAGCCAACCATTTTTCCCAGTTTGCCTGAGAAAGTTCTAGGGATAGGAAGCTTGAAACAAAAACAAAATAAATCAAAACAAAAACACAGAACCCTCAGAAGCTGAAAATATCAGAAGTCAAAGATGCATTTAGTGTGGTTAAGGTACTGAACATCATAACTTTCTAGCTATCTTTTGTTTTTTTAAGTACTGTGGATTGAACCAAGTGGCACTTAATCACTGAACCACACCAACAGCCCCTTTTATTTTTTATTTTGAGACAGGGTCTCACTATATTTCTTAGGGCCTTCCTAAGTTTCTGAGGATAGTCTTGAACTTGGAATCTTCTTGCTTTAGCCTCCCTAGTCATTGGGACTGCAGGCATGTGCCTCTGTGCCTGGGTTTATCTAGATACCTTAGATTTATGCAGTATACTTATATTATCCTGTACTATGTCGAATTGCTGTGGCAATGCTGCTAGAGTCTTATCAGCCTTGACCTTGATCTCAGGCACACAGCTCCTGGGAATAAAGAAACTCTCTTTTTAGACGACCACAATGTTTCACTGAGCCTCAACCTGTCCACATAACAGTAACTTTATACAATGGAATTTCTTGAGAGCTACACAAAGCTCATCATATTACACATTGCAACTTAGTATGTAACTGAGGAATAAGCTGCATAATGTGGTTAAGTCTGTAACCTGCCTAGTAATACAATGAACAATATATACTAATTATGCCACTGACCTAAAGTAACCTATCGATATAAATAAAGCTTGGCAGCTTGGCCTCTCTGTCATTCTGCCATCGTTCTTTCCTGCCACTGAAAAAAAATACTCATGTGATTTCTATTTACTTACTTCCCTATTCTTGGTGTTAATTTTTTATATGTAGGTACAAAATAACAAAAATATCTAAGATTCAAGCCAATGTTATGGTTTATTTTTTATCATTATCAAAGTCCAAAATCTGGCTTTACAACATGAAAAAATATTGATATTGTTACTGTCCCTTGGCTTGCTTAGGGATGATAACACAGATTACCTACCATAATTGGTTGTCTTAAAGACAGACATTTTTTTTTTTTTACTGACAGTTCTGGAGACGGGATTGTTTGTCTCCAGATAAAGAACTGGTTGTCTTAAAGACAGACATTTTTTTTTTTTTACTGACAGTTCTGGAGACGGGATGGTTTGTCTCTAGATAAAGAAACTGTCTGCACCTTGAATCAAGGTGCAGACAGTTTCTTTATCTAGCAAAGGTCCTATTCCTACTCTGATTATATTGTCTTCTTACTGCATCCTCAAGTGGCTGAGAGAGTGAGAGATAATTCACATCTCTGTTATTATGAGGCTACCCTCATGACCTCATCTAAACCTAATCACCTCTTAAAGGTCACACATCCAAATAATACCACACTGGGTATCAATTTGGGTAGTGGGACAAAATCATTCAGTCCATATAGCATCCATTTTTAGGGAAAGATTAATAAATCTAAATTATTATATTCATTTTAAAAATACTTATTCTAATTTTAAATTTGAAGATAAATTTAGTGTTTCTCTTTCAGTGTATATGAAATGGATATTTTGGTGCTTCACAAAATAACTGGTAATCTCCCTGTTCCCCATACACAAATCTTCCTCTAGTGGATAGTATGTGCTGAATAATCAAGAAATTCTTTCTCACATATTCAGAAATAATGCTTCTGCTGTCTCATATATTCATGGCTAAGATAATTTTAAAAACTAAAACAAATATGTAAGATGATTAAAACAAGCCAGACCAAAAAAGTATAAGCCATCTAATTCCATTTAAATAAAATTATAAGAAATCAAAACTAATCTGTTATCAAAAGATGTGTGGTAGCCTTGGCACAAAGAAATGTGAGGGGAGAATGTTCTTAAAACATGATGTTCTGGGAATAAAATCATAATAGTATTTAAGAGCACATGGTCATTTGAAAGATGTTCCTGGGAAAATACACAGTAATTGTTACTTTTAAATTTTTAAATTCTTATAAGTGAGATTTTGAGCTATTTATGGCTTAAAAATAATCATTAGACAATAGACAAAAGTGTAGCTACTCAGGAAGAATTTATGAAAGAATTTGAAATTTCTAGAAAATTGACCATTGAATCAACTACATATTTCCACACCAATAAGAGAGGTACATGAGATTTGTTGATTACTATTTTTTCATGTGAAAAAAATATATTTTCATTATACATTGCATATACATGTTAAACAGCAAGTTCCCTATGGAACTATTCATTACTTTAGGACAAAGCAAGGTATCTCTAAGATGGGCCAAGGGGTACTACAAAGCATGGTAGCTGCTGAAGGCAAATTCTAACTGTTGGGCCTCTTCAAGGATGAGATCAGAGTAGCTTCTCTAATTTTTGGCTAATCTGTGAATCTCCTGTGTGCTATTCCTCCATATCCTCTAGTTCAGATCTCTGAATGCACTTGAGCCGAGAGAGAGAGAGAGAGAGAGAGAGAGAGAGAGAGAGAGAGAGATTTTTTTTTAACCAGGAATGGAAGTGTGGGGGTCTCCTGAGAACTGCTACTCTTCAGATCTGGAGTAGAAGCTTCAGCGCCAGCATGACCCACATCCTCAGAAATTATCTTCTCCAGAAATCTGCTATGAGCTCAGTCACCAGAAGAAGAGCAGTCTAGGAAGACAGAGAATCCAAATATTACTAAGCTTTATTGGAATAATTGTATACATAGAACCATGCTAAGCACTGAAGTGAGCTCATGAACCCACAATAACCACGGGGCTATGGGATTACATGTGTGTTATTACTGCTGGTTCCAGCAATCCCATGGGTGAGCATTCTCGTACCCATTTTACAGGACAAGCTGGGTCACAAAGCGCTGTTTCCTGTCTTATCCCTCCACACCATGAGGTCACATAGCAAGTGAATCCAGGATATGCTAGAGCTGGATATCACACTGCTTGGGACCAGGAGAGTCCCACATCTCTCTCCCTCTCATGACAGTGGGGCTCTGGTCCCAGGGTGGTAGTGAAGTGACTGTCTGGGATCTCTTTATCTCCCCACACCCCAAGTAGGCTCAGCCCCCACCATGGGGCATCTACACCTTCTGCCTAGTCCAAACACTTGGATACAGGGCCCTGATCCCAAAGCAGAGTTAAGTCCATCCCCTTTAGAATGTCATTACTCTCACCATGGTCACCCTAATGACACCAGGCTCCTATGGCAACCAAGATGTGCAGGAAGTTAGTGTATTCCAGAAATGCCTTCCATGTAGTCTTCCCTTCTGTACCATTGTCTCTCACTTAAAAGCACCTTCACCACCCTTCAGGCCACCTGAAAAAAAGCATACTAATTTAAAAAAGCATACTAATAGAAAAAGTATGTGGGGATGCAGGCAATTTGGCACACTGTGCACAGGTTGTTGGAACAAAGCACAAGTCTGTTAACAGATTTTTTTTTCATTTAAAAATGACCATAGAACCCAGGTGTATACTAAATATAGTTTCTCCCCGGAAACTCACATTCCATACTGCACCACAAAAATCAAGATTCTGGAAATTTCTTTCATGTGAAATGACAAAAGTTATACAATATGCATGCATAAATCCAAAGTGATATAAACAAATGTCTGATTCAATAAAGAAATGGGTAAGAAGTGACAAACTATCTTGATCCAGTAATTCTTTCCAACTAGATGAAAAGTAAGAAGACAGGAAAGAAAGGATATGATGAGGTGGGACCCAAGTCTGCTTCTTCTATCTACTTTCCCAGATGATGCCTCAAATCTTCTGTTATGGAACACAGGAAACAGGGTGGACTGGCAGTAACATATGTCAAAATCCTAACATATGCCAGACATTCTGTGGGCCTTTCTTTTTCTTATTACAATAATTCTGTGAGGAAAGCACCCTGGGGCCCATATGACAGACAAACAAGTTCAGATTCACAGAATATATGTCCATTTCCAGGGTGGAACATCAATCTCTCACCTTCTACTGAGCCCAACAAGCTGCCTTCCATTTAGAACATGGGTTTCCAGTGCTTCAGGGCTGGCAGTGAGAAACTCACTCAATATTAAGCCTGAGTATGTCATGTCCCCTTGGTAATCACTCCCCTTTTATTGATAAAGATGATGGTGGGTATGGAATCCTGCCCTGTGGCCAAGAGGCCTGGGTATGGGTTCCATACGGATTATCTGATTTCTGACATACTGAACTGTACCCTGGAAGCAGCATAAGTTGTTGGCATTTGGAAAGGAAACCTGAATCTTATTTTAACTGTAATAATTCTAGCTAGAATTAGTAATCATCCCCATTACTTAGATCAGGCAACAAAAATTGAAAGTTAGGTAACATGGCCTAGGGAAGCAACCCTATTAATAAATGTTCTAGGGCTCAAAATCTAAAATAATTCAAAACACTAAAATTTGTCACCTCTGAACTCTAAGCTGAGATAGACATTTGATATACAAAGCATTGGAATTCACTGGAATTTGGTTGTTTTCATAAAGACAATGTGCTGAAGTACTTTTAAAATAATAACTATAATTATAAAATATATAATTCTATTCACGTAGGTAAAGTACAAAACAGAGTATGCAAATGGGAGAAACTATTTCTAATCTATACTCAATCATGAGTTTGTAACCCATGATGCATAAAATTCCCCCCTCTCTATACACACACACACACACCACACATTTGTGGATGAACCTTCATTTTTATTTACTTATTTTTATGTGGTGCTGAGAATCAAACCAGTGCCTCACACATGCCAGGCAAGTGCTCTACCACTGAGCCACAACCCCAGCCCTGATGTGTGGAATATTCTTAAACAACTGACATATGTTAATTATATCAAGAGATAATCCACATAAAAAGCAAAATCAAATCCTAAACAAATACTTGGAAAAACACCAAAAGTAAACATATTTAGCCAATCAGGCAAGTCACAAAATATAAGGTCAAATATGGTCCCACTATAGAAAAAACTACATCTATCAACCTAGGCTAATAGATATATATAGATGATTAAATACAAGTTATAGTATTACATAGAAAGAGAAAGCCTAGAGAACAAGTAAGAACTAATCAATGGAAACTCTCTTTGCATTAAAGGATGAGAAAATTATAGGGAAAGAAAGAGGAGACAAAATAATTTTAATTACTAATATACATTTCAATTATGTTTGATATGTCTTGGGCATGTGCATGCCTACATGTGTGTATGTGGGATTGAAACCAGAGTCTCACATATGCTTGGCATTTGCTCTACCACTGAACTACATCCCCAGCCTTGTTTTACATGTCTTAAATAACAAAATAAATTAACTGGTAGTGTGGCAAAGTGATTGAGATAAAGTTTCATAAATAAGGAAGTTCATAAACACATTAATGGACTAAGAATCATGACCATATACATGAGCAAATTGCACAAAAATAATAATTTAATAAAATTAAGCATATTTTAAAAATATGTAAACTATAGTATTTTAAATATGAGAACCTTATTGTTTAAAATGTTCAAAAGAAAATGATTGTGAACTGATTATACATATGATGCCCACATAATCACTGCTTTGGAAACATGGTCATAGTATACTGTTTTATGTGTTAAAAAGAAGTAGATCAAATCAATTTATTTGACAGTGTTTCTGTGTATGTGGGTGACCCTATGTTTCTATGTCTCAACCTTCTTTGCAATAATATTCTCACATAAAGTCGAGCAGTTTTCTATTCAGTCCACACAGAGGCTAGACTTTTAATACCACGGTAAAAGATCCTAGGGTGGGAATAAAGATAGTAGGATCACCTCCAATGTGTGAAAAGTCCAGAAAACTTTGGCATGTACAAATAAATCCAGGCAGCTTCCTCACAGCCCACAAATCCCATACCTGTGTGCAAGCCTCCTGCTGGACACTTTCACTCCTACAATTCAGACTCCCATCACCAGGTGGCATCATTCTCCATCTTTTCCAGGTCATTTCTACCTCAAGGAAAGGTATCATTTCTATAAACAGAAATAGAATTTTTCCTCAAAGCAGATTATGAAACAACAAAGTGTGTGAACTCAGTTCTCACTGAAAACTTTCCATGTGTATAAAGCTGAAAGAACACATGCATAGTTTCATTCTCTGCTTATTCCTATGCCTACATGTAATACATTTAAAAAATAATAATTTTAGTTGTATTAGACAGAATAACTTTATTTATTCTTTATGTGGTGCTGAGGATTGGACTCAATGCCTCACACATGCTAGGCAAGTGCTCTACCACTGTGCCATGACCCCAGCCCTAAGTAATAAATTTTTGAAATATATACTGGTGTCTAGTTTGTGCTGGGCACTGCCAGGTCAGTTCTACATGCACATCCCACACTCCTCTCTTTTTCTCTAGACCTGTACAACAGGATATCTCCAAAGGAAGCAACATGGATATTAAAGGGTCTGCTATGTTGTATTATCTTAATGGACTGCATTTCAGGCAACAAGAGTCCAACAGTCACCCTGAATCTTGGAAACTCAGCATCTGAGCAAGACATAGTACAGTTGTGTGGGGAGAGGATGAAACTTGGGAAACTGATGTACCTGGTGCTAATATGCTACCTTCTCCTCACTCACAGATATGGAATGAAGGAAGGTGAAACCCTCATGTGGCTTCAGTCTTGATTCTTCTCATGAGCAGGAAACTATAGATTCTTCCTTTAGCCCTGTGCTAGGGCAGGTTTGGTAAATTGCCAAACTAGTTTTGTGCCCATCTTTTCCCTAGCAGGGAGGCCCTTCCTAATTACTATTCTGTGGTGACATAGAGTTTCTGTTTCATTAAGACCTCCTCCCCCAGTTGGGAACATGGACCCAGAGCCACAGAGACAAAAAAGAGGAGAGAACAAATTTTCAAAGACAAGTACAACACTTATGTATGATGCATTCAAAATTCATTCTACTGTCATGTATAACTAATTAGAACAAATAAAAATTTAAAAAAGACAAGCACAGGCCTGGGAACCCTGTCCAAACATCCAATTTCTCTGATTTAGTGAAATGGTTTTCACAGACTTCTCACATGATGTTCACCTCCCTCGGTTCCCCTTGGATAGTTGTGAGAAAGTAGGCATTCTCATGTCCTACAGGAGCTAATGTCAAATGGCACAACCTTCATGGAGTGTATCTGATGCTATCTAGCAATATTACAAAGGCAGACACTCTTGGAAACAGTAATGTGCCTTCTAAGAATCTATGTCAAAGATGCAATGCAAAAAGATAAGGGAGAATTCATAACAGCACAAGTTTAGAAACATAACAGATATTCACAAACAGGAGGCTAGTGAAATAATCTACTATAAACCTGAGGACTATGCAGGTATAAAAAACAATGCAGAATCCCTCTCTTGCTGCTATGGAGTGATCTTCGGGATTCATTGTTAGGTTTAAAAAAAAAAACAAGATCCAGAAAAAAGTATTAGCTGCAGCTGTCCAATAAGAAGCCATAATTGGGCTGGGGTTGTAGCTCTGAGGTAGAGCGCTTGCCTAGGAAGCATGAGGCACTGGGTTCATCCTCAGCACCACATAAAAAATTTTAAAAGTGCTGTTTCCATCTACAATTTAAAAAGCTTAAAATCGTTTTAAAAAGAAGCCATAATATAAATATGGAAGTTCATACTTCAAATTTGAATTAAATTATAACTCACTTCCTCAGTCACACTTGCCATGTATAATGGGCTCAATAGTCACAGGTAGCCAGTGACAATCACCTTGCACACTTTGGATAGAGAATGTTCAGACAGAGAACACTTTCATTTCTGAAGGAATTTACATTGGACAATGCTGGTGTAGAACATGCTACCTTTTACTGGTGGGCTAATACATACCATGTTTGATTATCTTATTAAAAATTAGACAGTTGAAACCAAAACTGAAAAAAAAAAAAAGATTGGCTATAAGGGGATGGTGAAGCAGCCCAGGGTGGAGACAGATGATGTTCACTCTCTTAGAAACATAATAGATACTTACTGATTCCAAGCCCTGATAAGAATGAGAACAATGAGCACTACAGGAGCAACAAGCAATCCTAGGACCCTGACCATGAGTAAAATTTGAGATTTTCATAAGAACCATCATTGTAAAAAAACAAACAATACACCCCCAGAAATATAGAAGAACAATTTGGAAATTTTCAACCTGGCATATATAATAACAGCTGAGGTCCATGTAAAAGTTTACAACCTTTGTGGTTGGCATTTGATATTATCTAGTAAAATTACACAGGAATATATTCTTTTTAAATATTTATATTTTAGTTGTAGGTAGACACAATACCTTTATTTTATTTTTATGTAGTGCTAGGATTGAACTCAGTGCCTCATGCATGCTAGGTGAGCACTCTACCACTGAGCCACAACCCCAGCCCCAGGAATATATTCTTGAAATCAGCAAATCTCTCCTATTCCAAGGATACAATGCAAAAACACAAAAAGGCAAAAACACAGGGCTACTACTAAAAGAAGGTTTCATTACAACAGAAGCCTAAAATTAAGAAAGCTCACCACCCAAAGGGGCTAGTTGAGTAATTGACAGCTCACATACATCCTAGACTCCAATGAAATGAGGGATTCCTCCTGGAGCAAGAGCCAAAATAGGAAGTCCAAAGACACAGACTCTACAACAATACATAGTTGTAGAAGCCTTTATGAGAACTCCAGAGATCAGGGAGGAAGTAAAAATACTCTCAGACAAATGTCAGCACAAAGAACAGTCACATTGAAACAGTTAAAAAATGCCCATTTGCCCATCAATAGATCATCCACCAAGTCAGCAGAGCTCAGCATAGTTGAAAGAAAATGCCCAATTTATACCCTTATTTGGGGTGGGGTGGGTAGTGGGGATTGAATGCAGAGTGCTTTAACAATGAGTTATATCCTCAGCCATTTTTATAATTTATTTTAAGGCAGAGTCTTGCTAAGTTGTTTGAGGCCTCACTAAATTTTTCAGGCTGGTCTTGAACTTGGTTTTGTATGTTTATAAACAAGTTACATTTTTTTTCTGTTAAATGTATTTATGTATATGTGTGTACGTGTATAAATGTGTGTGTGTGTGTGTGTGTGTGTGTGTGTGTGTGTGTGTGTGTATTTTCCCCCTGTGATACTGGGGATTGAACTCAGAAGCATTCTACCTGAGTTATATACCCAAACTGGAACTTGCAATTCTCCTGCCCCAGACTCTCAAGTTTCTGGTATTACAGAAGTGTCCCACTATGCCTGGCTGTTTGTTTCTTACATACCTTTGATAGGTTTTTTTTTTTTTTTAATGCTTCTATATTGGTAAGAATTTAGACAAAGATATATCAATGCTTTGTTGAAGATGTCTTCCCCAGTGTCACTGCAATCATCTAACATGTTTTTGCCATGCAAGTTTTGTCATTGTTAATTTTTTATTAATTTTTATTGGTGCATTATAATTATATACAATGTTGGGATGTATTATGATACATTCATACATGAATATAGCTTAATTTGGTTGATTTAATTACCTAGTCATAATTTTTATGTCATCAAACAAGTCAATCTTTGGAATTCATCCATTGTTTCTTCTAAAACTTTAAAGATTTGTTTTGAACATTTAATTTAGAACAATTTGGGTCTTATCCTGCTGTAAAATGGAGAAAAGGATCCCTATCCCTTTTTATTTTTTAACTAAATTATTTTCTAGCTATCACAATGCCACTTACTAAATCATCCATGATATCTCCTTTCTGATTTGAAATGCTGCTTTAGTCATATTATAAATATGTCTATGTCTGGGCATTCTGTTTCATTAATCCTTCTGTCAGTTCACAGGCCGATGAAGTAAATGTCAAAATAATATTTTCCCTTCATGTACACCTTTCTCATTGGCATAGAAGGAGACTGGGCTTTCTGTCTGGAGGCCATAGGATTCCTTTGGTCTGTGGATGGCCCTCTTTCTACTCGGATTTGAAAAATCTGTTAGGTTGGCCACAGCCCCGCCCTCTCACTTTTCATGTCTGCATGTTCAAGTTGCAATTCAGCATTCTGTCACGAGATGGCACCAACATGCCAACATTATAGAAAGTCTACAAAGATGTGGAGGCAATGAGAAAAAACTACAGTACCTCCTTTAAAATGCACTTTATGAACTTACATATATAATAATTTTATTTAATAGAAAAACTGGTAAATGTAAAGAAAACTTCAAATACTTATGCTCTGGGGCATTTATACAATGAAACAGCAAGGGAGCCCTGGGGCACCCTCCCTGCAGGAGCAGGCATCAGGCAGAGCCAGAAAGGCAGAAGATGATAGAGAGGATGGGGTACACAGTGGGGCATGATCAGTTGTTTCTACAGTGTCCTGGAGAGGGGATGACTGAGAACAGGTGGGAGAAGGTCAAGGAAGCCTGTACAGAGGTGTGGTAACAGAGGGTTTTCCACCCTGTTGTCTGGGGGACCCTGCTTACATCTCAAACAACACTGAGGAGGAAAGAGATAAATCAATGATATGATGTAGACTTGGAGGTCAATAAAAGATGGAATTATTTTAACATACATGTGAATTTTCTGGGCATAACTGCTGTAATAGTGAACAAATCATCCAAGACATTTATCAGTCCTTGACAAATAGGATTTCAACATTATATACTAGAGAATCAAGGATCACCCCTCAGTAGATTGTTCGACCATGTGGAGAAATGGTAATGCTGTTTTCTCGGATCAGTTACTCCAAGTACTTTTGGGATATGTCAAGATACTTAGAGCTGGGTGCTGTGGCACACTCTTGTAATCCCAGCTCCTCAGGGAGACTGAGCAAGAGGTTGCCAAGTTTGAGGCAAACCTGGGCAACATAACAAGAGGAGACTTTGTCTCAAATAAAATAAAAATTTTACAAGGGCTGAGAATGTAGCTCAGCGGTAGAGAGCATCATATGCAAGGCTCTAGATTTAATCCCCAATACAACACACACACACACACACACACACACACACACACACACCAACATAT